ATATATATATATATATATATATAATTTAATAGTTGTAAATATATTTGCAGTTTTAGTTTTCATTTAAAATATAAATATCATTGTTTACATATTTATGTGTTAAAGAAATTTATTAGTTTAATGATTAAACATCTTGTTAGACTTTTTAAGTGTGAGGAGTTCAAATTTTATCTTTAAAGTTTTGACAATTTGATTTCCTTTTTTACATGTCACATCTTATCGTTAAACTTAGTTTTACCTTCGTTGAAGAAATATGACATGAGCCTGACAATGACCTATTTATCCTTTATATGCATTTTTTTAAGGTTAGGTTGTGTGACCATCATAAAAGTCGAATCTGACTTGTAAGTTTATTTAACATCTTATTTTATAATAATTTAAATTTGAGAAAGATGAGAAAATGGATATTTTATAATAATTTAAAATTGAGAAAGATGAGAAAATAGATATGCCAAGTTTTATAAAAATTGAGTATAATATTTTTAATCTGATATAAATATTTTATAGGTTTAATATAAAATTCTAATGATAACATATTTAAAACTTGTTTTGTAATAAGATCATTAATTAGGACAAAAAATTATTTTTCAAAAAAATTATAAGCTTCTCTTTTTATATAAGTAACATTTTTACTATCAATAAAGATTATAATGAAAATAATAAGGTTCAAAAAAGTTAGAACTTGTTCATATTACGTAATCCTTTTATCACTAAAAAGTTAAATAAATATATGATATACATTATAACAAATTAAATATGATAATAATAAATATATATTTATTTTTATTTAAATAAGTATGTCTATTAAGTTTAATAGATTTGTTTAAAAATATTGCTTATTGCATTCAATTTTTTAATTTCAGGTACCCATTATATATACTTTGAAAAATCTCATTTTGAAATACATATGATGGGTGCAGAAAGTAAAAGGTTGGGTGTAGAAGTAATATAATTTTTAAAATAGCCTAAAGCTTGACATGTTTAATTAAATAGGCTAAAGTCTTTGTCTCACCTATTTTCTAAAAAGGTATAGTCTAACTTGATTTCAATGTAGACTAAGCCATAAATCAGTGTTGAACTATTATATTATATTTTCATCTCTATTTATATGTTAGGTTTTAAATTGTTTTTTTTTATTTTGACAAGGATAAAAAATATATTTTGTACTTTCATATGTTTTATAAAAAATAAAAAAATAAAATAAATGATAAAAAATAACTAAAATTAAGTACGCATGTAATTAAAAATTAGAGGATTTGAATGGCTTAAATAGTTATGTAGGGAGTATGGGAAGTTTGAAAAATACTTATAGAAAAGTAAGGAATAACGATAATAAAAATTAAATAAAAAGTATTGGAGAGAATGAATGTTTTAAAAATTAAAGGAAAAATAATCAACAAAATATATACATTAAAAAAGTCTATCGTCTTTATTAATGATATAGATACATATATAAACTAATTTATATAAAAAAAAAACAATAATTTTAATTATAAATCATAATGTGTTAAATTTTAAACCCTCGTAACAAGTAACCACAATTTTTTTTTCCTGATTTCATCTATGTATTATTATATTAACATATTATATCAATGTGAGTGTGTCGTCCTCCTAATAAAAGAAAAAGACATTAGCCTTTTAAATATAACTGGTAGAAGAAAAAAAATCGAAACTCTTTTATATATGCATACAAATTTGCAAATGTTATACTCGTGCAAATGATTCGATAGGTGACAATTAATGTCTATATCTAGTATTTTTAATTTGCAGAGAAAGTCTAATTTTATAACAAACGATATTTCACTTTTAAATATGTTATATATTTGAAAAAATATTTTTTATATGTAGGGATGGAAAAACAAACAGAATATGTGAGGTGGTTCGTGAAGTGAAAATGGATTAGAATTTCTGATCTCCCCATCTAGGAATGGGATGACAAGACAACAGACCAACCTGCCAAAATATATATA